CCCACGATGTTATGCATCCGTAAGGCAATCAAACAGCGCAGATGCACCGGTTTAGTATTAGGAGCACTTTCGAGAGCAGTCCTGTGAACCTTTTGCTCCTGGGCCGCTTCCTACCCAGGTGGTGCTAGTTGAGTCTTGATCGGTTAATTTAAAGGCTGCATAGGTGGCTATGGTTCGGTACGTTATCACAGCCCTCGATCGTTTTTGAATTGCTGGTCCTGATTCCCTTGTACCTACGCTGTTTAAAGATGAAGTTGAAGTCTTCTGCAATGTATTGATCCATCTGTTGGAATATGTATAGAAGGTCGTTCCTGACAACGGGTGAGTCCATTATACTGATGATATATTGAGACCGAAGCACTACGGACTGTGCTAACAACAGGGGTATCAGTCTGGTGTTAGTAGGGGCAGAGCTCCTGGCATTAATCCTCCCTCGTCGCCTCGCAGCGGAAGGATTTCGGATAATTGGAGATCATGCATGTTTCTATCCGAGATGGGTCTGTGTAGACCATACATTCACTTTGTGACAGGTGCTGGAGCAGCATCACACGTGCCGCATATCGACAATATCTGTGTTTCTCGATTTCACGATTGCATTTGATACAGTCGGTCGCTCCATCCTCTTTGTCATACTTGTTTGGATGTTCCCACCAAGTGTGTAGCTCTTTTCCATTCCCTGTTCTCGAACACCACAGTTGGCATCAGAATTTACGATGTATCTCCAGACGTTTTTTCAACAACAAGTGGTGTTTGTCATGGTTGTCGAATTTCCCATTTTGCTCGACTTGTCGTGAATTCCATCATGGAGTGTTCTCTTTTGGAATCTCATGATGTTGGCATTAGAACGTTGCTGGCTAGCCGAACAACCTCCTCGTGATACCAGCTGCATAGTTCACGCTCACCCCGTTCCAACAAATCTTTCGACGGCAGTGTTCCAGGATGTGGTGGTCTTTTGCCTGACAAGCGTTCTCTCTATAAAAAGGCACGTGTCTGTCTAACAACACTGCGACCTGGCGGATGTGATTCGCCAATAAATAAAATCACTGCTCTTTGCGTCGCCCCAGTGGAGCATTGTATTTCACCAGTCTTTTACTGAAACTATAGGAGGATTGGGCCCATGTTCGGTGACTTCCCAAATGAAAGGCGTATGAACCGAACAATCGGTCACCGGCTCCCAATGGGCGCGATTCCCTGAATTCGCCTAGCTTCCTTGCGGGTAGGCTGTCGGGCTAAAGGCTCGAGGTGGAGCCTCCTAAAACAACTCCCTACTTCGGCTTGGGAAACCGGGTAGTATCGTGCCCGCTGCAGAAACTATGGATCACACTACTACTTCGTCGTACGCTTTTGTTCCTCTCTCTTTCACCTCTCACCAGTCTCCATCACACGCCAACCATCTACCCGGCATTAATCAGTGTTACCCTCACTCTAATCCATACACCGGTTTCGATGCTCCCCACAAGGTCCGGCCAGAAGCCATCCTTTGACCCCAACTTTCGTTTCGGCTGGCAACGTCCAATGTTCGAACTCTCAAGCAGATTGGACAACAGGTCGGTCTAGTTCGCACTCTGGGCTAGCTCGCTATTGATTTATACTGCCTTTTCGGAACTAGGTTGCAAGATCCAAGCAATGTGCTAAGGTTGACTTCTCTGACAAACCAGGGGGCTACACACCATCTGCGTCTTTCTGGCCATGCAGAAGCGGCTACAGCTGCTTTGGCAGGCGTCGGTGTGGCATTAAGCAGCAAGCTGAGGTCGCATTGCTGGACTGGATCCCAGTCAACAGCCGATTGTGTGCAGTACGACTTAAAGCTTAATGCAGAGTCAACAGGCACCGCGCTGTATGGCGCAACCTGTTCGTGGTCTCCGCCTATGCGCCCACCGACTGTAGCCATGAATCGACCAAGGACGATTTTTACTCCGAATTTCATCAGCTCTTGTGCAAGGCTGCCAAATCGGATGTCGTATTCCTCGCCGGGTACTTCATTGCACGCGTCGGTCGCCTGCTACCAGGTGAAGATCCCCTGGATAGACATCACGCACTGCACGAGAATTTTTGCATGCGCTTTGGAAGTCGTCCCGAACGGAAGCATTGCAAGCCCGACACGAACAAGTTAGCAGCAGATCCCTCGACTCAGCTGAACTACCAATTGTCATTGGCAAACGCTTTAGTTTGTGCTTCTCACCCAGCTAACATCTCTGTTTATGGAGATCTGGAATGAAGAAAGAGTGCCCACTTCATGGGGCGAGTCAGTTATTGTCCCAGTCTTCAAGAAAGGCTCCCGGACTTCATGTGCCAATCATAGAGGAATCAGCCTGGTACCAGTTACATCCAAGCTACTGGTATCCATCATGTTGCGCAGACTGTCACCCACTATCGGGAGGAGCAGACTGGTTTCCATCCCGGTAAAGGTAGCGTGGATCATATTTTCACGCTTCATCAGCTCCTTAAACATCATCACATATACCGCAGACCCACCATCCTCGTCTTCCTGGACATTCGGGCTGCATTCGACTCTGTAGACTGACCTGCCTTATAGCATTGCCGGACAACGAACGGAGTCTCTGAAACATACGTCGCTAATCTTCGGCCGTTATACCTCCACACCTCAAGGAAAGTAAGAGCCTACGGCAAGCTCTCCGCAGTCTTTTCTGTTACCAGTCGTGTGCGACAAGGATGTCCTGTGTCTCCATTTCTTTTCGTGATCGAAGATGTCCTGTTGGGAGGTCTGGATGGAATTCAGAATTCTGCAATTGAACTCCTTCCAGGTAATCGTGTATCCGACTTAGATTACGCTGATGATATCGCCTTGTTCAGTGATGACTCTCACAGGCTGTAACTGATCGTTTACCGACTGGTGATTGAAGCGTCCAAGTATGGTATGTGTTTTGCACCCTCAAAGTGCAATGTGCTGACACAAGATTGGCAAACTGCTCTTCCTCAGCTCGCCATCGAAAACATTTGGCTTAAGCAGGCGGATAGTTTTGTCTACCTTGAGCGCAGTATCTCTACCGACGGAACCATTGGAGAAGAGGTGTCTCTCCGCATCGTTGAAGTCCGCTCGGCATTTGCTAATTTCTAACACCTGTAGCGTCGTCGCCACATCTCGATTTTGCTAAAAGATAGGGCTTACAATGCTTGTGTTCGCTCGATACTTTTGTATGGATGCGAAACTTGGCCGATTCGAGTGGGCGACATTCGTAGGCTTTCGACCTTCGACAACGGCTGTCTGCGGTGGATCGCCCGTGTGTGGTGGCAACATCGGGTGCGCATTGATGTTATCAGACAACGCGTCTTTGACAAAACGAATCCCCCGCTCCATGAGCTTGTTCTGTTGCGCCACTTGAGATGGCTTGGTCATGTTTCGCGCATGCCTGACGAGCGATTGCCACGCCGCGCCCTATGTGTACGTACAGGGCTGCATTGGAATAGGTCGCGTGGTGGCCAGCCGACCACCTGGTGTCAAAGCATCAAATCACTGACATCCTGTCTATTAATTGTTGGTCCGGTTCGCATTCCCGGTTGGGAACTGAAAGGTACAGAATGTCGGTAGCTTACCACACTCGGCACAAAACTGGTTACAATGGAAACAATGCACGCAAGTCTACGTAAAGTTCCAACTCCAAAAGTAATAACTCAATAAACAGAAAAATACTGAAAAACGGCTCGTGTACAAAAGACAAAAAAGTTTTATTAATTTTCCAAAACCTTCTGCTATCATTGTACATCTTGTTCCTATTTAAATTTCCGTGGTTTCGAGTGGCTCAATGTCTATCTCAGACTGTTGCTTATATGGTTGGCGGCATCCGGTTTCGGATTTGCCTGTCACTGTGGCAAGCCACAGGACGCCTGCGCCTACAGAGGGACCATGGATGGCTTGCGCTGCACCACCCACAGCTCCAACCACACACCCCATATCCAGTGTAAACCCGAAGGAATAAAACCGGGAGGCATGTGGATGGGAGCCGCGTTTCATCGAGCCGACCCACACTCCTTCACAGGCAAACACAAGCACGCTGTATTTGGGAATCAAGCGCACACAAGGCGGTGGCTGGACCGTAGTCCGCTCCACACTGAGTGCATGGAACCGCTCTTTGAGCCTAGCACGGTCACAAGGACCGTGCACCCCGTCCCCTCCAGCAACGACCAACTGTCTCCTGGAGCCAGTATGGACGAGGTAGTGGGTAATAGACAGGTAGGCACCTTGTCAACATGCACATCAAGCGCAGACACACCGGGGATATCAAACAACAACCATTCACTTTAAACGACAAACTGAAATTAAAAAAAACAATAATGCATACATATACGGTGGCATAACTCTTCCCTAAATTACCATATGAAGTAAGTTGGTTAGCAACGAATCCACGATAAGTAAGAAATGTCCACAATTTACTTAAAAAGGCTACAAACACAACAAAATTACCGAAGGTAAGCACCATTAGCGTAAGCAACGTGGCCAGTTAATAGAACATTATTCAGGTAGGCAGAACGAACCAAATAAAGTGGAATGAAATTTATCCAGATTAAAAAGACCTAGTTTAAGTTGGTTTAGCCCAACTGCGGTGAAGAAGCATCAAGAATGCAACATCAGCCTCAGCATGGGGCACATGTTGCTTGTATATATATATATATATATATATATATATATATATATATATATATATATATATATATATATATATACACTGTGCAGATGTTTTGGTCATGTGTTTACTTAATGCGTTTAGATTTTCCACTACGTCTCCTATTTTTACTCTCATTCCGTCGGTGATTGTGCTTGCACTACAGCGATGCACTAATTCAACTGACTGTTGTACTGCCTCCGCTGCTGCTGCTGCTGATGATGATGATGATGTTACGTTAAATTTGTGTTGTGGTTCGCAGTGTTATTTGGCTCCATAGGTCGCCCGTTTTTTCCGGCAAATGCATGTTTTTTCAGCTTATTTAGGACTACACAACGTGTTGTTTTATCGCATACATTCCTATTTTAAGGCAAATCAATGTTCTTTGTGTCATCCTCATTGCTGATTTCTGTTCCCACTGTTTTTGACACTCTATTGCCATATTTTTATTTCCTCGCCACCGAACCCTCAGGGACTTTAGGTCACATTCCCCCGTCTACACTTGCTACTCCTTTGTCCACTTCCTCGATTGGACCTTCAAGAGAATGCACTCTGGCTCGCAACCGCAGCCTTCGCTCTACAGAAGAGCGCAACAGGAGCCACGTGCATTTTTCGCCCCTTTTAATCAATTCCCCTGATGTGTTACATGGCAACAGTTTCGTATCTTCTAAATCAGAAATGCAGCTCACTCATCCAGTTGCCACTCATAAGCGCTCTCATGTGGAAGACTTGAGGACAAGTGAGTTCATTTTTGCGCTATTCCACTCCTGATATTTCGCGCTTCAATTTATACCCTGCTACGTCATCATCGCATCACTCTGCTGCTCTGTCACGTTCCATCCAATTTGTCTGAAGTGCATGTATTATTTATTTGTAGGCGTTTAGATGTACATTTGACAGCAACCACATGCACAACGATTTGTGGGACTGTATGAAGGGAGTGAAATCGCCTTCTTGTGCGATACTTCTACCTTAGTCGCCTTCGTTTTCATCTGAAGTCCGATGAACAATTACTTGGGTTGTTTTCTGTTCTAAACGTTTCACCAACATCACATGCGGTTCGCTGCGGTAGTTAACGTTGTACGATTCTCTGCCAATGTAATTTGAAGGCGAAATATTATTCTAGAGCACTAGGGCAAAACGGAGAACTGTATACCTTCTAGTTGGTCCAACTGCATGGGCGGATTCCCTCTGAGTCCAATTTTTTTTAACTTTTATTCGAATTTCGACGTTCAGTGGGTTCAGTTGCAATGAACTACTCTGCTTCAAGAGTACGAGTGACTGGGAACAATTAGCAACATCAATACAAACGGGTAAGCAAGTTGGTAGAACGAATGGAATTCTCTTTGCTCAGTGCAGGATCACCTGATCGGATACAACAACGCCATTGGATTTACCACTGCGTCATATTAGCAAAAGTTTCTTGTCAACCGGTATGGCTGAGCTGATAGCCCCTATCGCTCAAAATCGCATGCACCATTCCGAACTACTCTTTCGATTGGTCTCTTCATGCTTTTTACCGCGTATTCCGTCGGCTGTGCTGAAACTCCACTCAACCATCCTTAGTGTCCGAAATCAATGCACCTTTAGGTTGGCATACAAGGGACGTGTGAAAGCACACGCAAGCCGTTCATTTGGGAGAGATTGTCAGGAGCAGCAGCTAGGTACTTGTTGCCAAACATCAATTAATCAAATGTACAAACAGAACACCAATACTTGACACTCATGCACGGCTGCCATGCGACGACAAACAACTGTACCCGCACTGAGGTGTTACATGGGTACTCCGATTCATGCCGCAGCGGAGACTCGAATATCGGGCGTATAAGTCGTAGGTCAACTGCCTCTACCGCTACGTTAACTAGTGTTCCCATCCACTTTCTAAAGACACCCAGTTTCCTAATTTCATAGATACACAGTGGACATACCCGTTATCTAAACGAAGCCGCTAGACGCAACGCATCATAGTAAACCCTTCGATCGACAGAAGGTTGTTGCCTTACGAGTTTTTACAGTATGCTCGGAATTCTCAGCAGTAACTTGGTCACTAAACATACCACTGCTCCCCATTAAATCAATTAATCGATGGACTCGAATTGCTGGGAACCGGCAATTCTTCGGTCGTCTCGTGCACTGGTGCTTTGTAGCACTTTGAAGGCATGAAGCATGAGACGTGTGGCTCTATCTCTGTCTGTGCAGATTGGCTTACAAAGCTGGGTGTGACAGCAGGAGCGTCACATCGTCCTCGTACTCTACATTTGTCACTGCTTCATCAGACAGAATCTCTGTTATAGCAGAAATATACAAGATAAAACCATTTACGATCATTCCACCTGAGTGTTAGCACAACGCTAGTTATCCTAGCGAATTCAGGAGGGAGCTCTTCTTAAACCCGCAGGTGGCTTCTTTGTCACAGGATGTGGATTTCGGGGCAACGATGAATTCCTCTGGCGCACTCTTCACAGGCTAACACACAAGTGACCGTGGTAGGCATTTGCAGCATAACGATATGAGCAATCCAATCTCTGCCAGGATAGAAATCAGCCTTGTTCTTACTGATTCTTCTCTCCCCGGAGTACAGCGCGCTACTTGTAGGCGATGTCAATGAGACTAACTCCCACTGATCTTCGCTGATCGTCTCTTCTTTGTTCAAACACAGACTACTGCTAACATCCAGTCTGAAAGCAGCTCCACAATACACCATATATCGTTAAATGAAACATCTAGACCGAGTCGTTACTGTTTTTCTAACGCCAATGGAGGTCGACCATTCAGCTGATTTGTCCTTGTTGAGCGGCTTAGGTTTGGCAACCCCTTTCGGCTTGCTTGGAGCTTTGACTAACTACTGGTCACCACCAATCGTTGAATTTCGAGTCGCAGTAAACTGTGAGCAAGTACATCTTCTGGAGCCTAAATGTTGTATTTCATAGCTTTATCTTGGAATCGTGTCTCTACTGTTATTGTTGTTTTATCCTATCGTTAGGTTGTAACTGATAAAGAAGGCCGCATACTTTGGTGGCATTGTGTCTACCATAATCCAACAGATAGTTGGCTGTTTTAACTCGCGCAATTCTCACGTTTAACGTAAGTTCTCCTTGGTTGCGTACCGACTAACTAATCTATGTCTTTGTCAGCACAGCTGCGCGGGTTATATGGTTGGCGGCATCCGGTTTCGGATTTGCCTGTCACTGTGGCAAGCTACAGGACGCCTGCGCCTACAGAGGGACCATGGATGGCTTGCGCTGCACCACCCACAGCTCCAAACACACACCCCATATCCAGTGTTAACCCGAAGGAATAAGACCGGGAGGCATGCGGATGGGAACCACGTTTCATCAGCGGAGCCGGCCCACACTCCTTCACAGGCAAACACAAGCACACTGTATTTGGGAATCAAGCGCACACAAGGCGGTGGCTGGGCCGTAGTCCGCTCCACACTGAGTGCATGGAACCACTCTTTGATCCTAACACGGCCACAAGGACAGTGCACCCCGTCCCCTCCAGCAACGACCAACTGTCTCCTGGAGCCAGTATGGACGAGATAGTGGGTAATAGACAGGTAGGCACCTTGTCAACATGCACATCAAGCGCAGCCACACCGGGGATATCAAATAACAGCCAATCACTTGAGAGAGAGGGGGAAAGAAAATAACTCGATTGATGCATACAGAAACGGTGATATAAAGCTTAAGTTAATGAGCATATGAAATAAGTTGTTTACAAACGAATCCTAGATAAGTTCATGAGGTGAGAAAGTATACTGTACGGAAATGCCACGAACACAAAAATGTTATGGAAATCGAATGCAATTGGCTTAAGCGAGGTGTGTAAGTTAATGAAATAGAGTACAGGTAGGCATTTATATGAGAAAGAAAAGCATTAAGGCAAAATAGAAAACCCACCACCTGAAATAAAGAGACTTAGCATGCAAGCACGCGGTTAGTAAAAAGAATGCAGCGTATCTACAGACGTTGCGCCGGTTCTGATTACTTCTCTGCAGGACCCGTCCTCGCTTCTGTAGTGGTCCCGAGTGGCCTCGCTCATGGCTCACTAGACACTAGACATTTATAGGAGAAAGAAAGGCATTAGAACAAAATTGAAAACCCACCACCTGAAATAAAGAGACTTAGCATGCAAGCACGCGGTTAGTAAATCGAATGCAGCGTACTTACGAACGCTGCGCCGGTTCTGCCTATGTTCTCTGAAGAACCCGTCGTCGCTTCGGTAATAGTCCGGAGTGGCCTCGCTCATGGCTCACTAAGCCTGCCTGACTAAGGCACCCTCGACCGCATGTTCTACAGCACCATGCGCATGATGTCGATGGAGTACAATTCCTCGGTGCTTGCCGCTTCCGCACTTGCCGCTTCTTCTCTGCATGCATGAGGGCTTTCTCCCGCACTTCAGAAACTGCGGGTTATATACATGGATGGTAACAGTCGGAAATGACAATCGAGATACCTGTTCATGCATTTATCGGATGTATGATCGACACAGTCCCCACCTCCACTTGAATTACAATGCCGTTTAAACAACCAGTAGCAAGCACTAAAGATCTGGTTGTCTATAGTGTTTACGGTACGCTATTTTCCCTTGCCAATAATATGACATAGTTAGTGGATGAATGCTAATGTATTTACATAAGCAGTTTCACTGAATAAGAATGTTTCCAAATAGCACTGTTTAGGCTTTTTTTGTTCTTTTCCATCAATAATAAGCTTTTGTGGAGAAATTATGAGATACTGCGAACCACCTGCATTGAAGACAGAAAACCCGCCATGAATCTTGTAATGGTCACGTTTATTTTGTGGGGCTGTCGTTCATTTTGCTTTATCCGCTGGTTCCATAAATACGAGCGTGTCAAGGACAATGGATGTGAATCGCAGCCGTTCAAGGTGAACACGAAAGCCTGTCCCACTTTCTTTTTTAGAGCCTCATTTGGGTTTCCAAGTCCTCAACCAAAATTTTCATTTACTTGCCAACCTCGAATCGGACAGTCGTGCGTTAGTTCACAGTGCTTTTTCGTTGTACAACCGCTGCTACCTGTATTACCTCTTCGTATCTTCATTCCGATAGGATTTTCCCCATTTGTTCTTCCCTACATATTATCGTTTCTCGGTTCCGATCAACTCAACAGGTTCGCCCAGTTATCTGAGGGTTGCAGTGGCTGCCTTCGGTTATCCGACGTATGCTGGTGATTCTTCACCATTTACTAGGTCCATCCCTGCCCAGCGACTTCGTCCCATGCAGCTGTCTTTGTCTTCCCATCAGACGAACACTGTCGCATTCTCTTCGCCGGACTCCCCCTTACACGCTGCAGCCAATCTTATGTCACGTTCCACTGCTCCTTCAGCGCATTTCCAAGATCCATCGCTATCAGCGCAATCTGCTCATAATTCCGGAGCCACCAATTTCACTTTCAATCTGCGCCATCCTTCCGTTCCAAAGGATGCAGTTTCGAACTCAACCGGGCAACCGGCTAGAGAGTCATCCGCTTCTCAACACCACAAGGTACTGACAGGTTTGCTCATGCAGACGATATCCCGGATAACTGGATTTTTCGCTGCTTATAAGTGCTCATTGTTTTCTCACGATGATCATTGAGGTGGCTAAGCTGCATTTCCACACTGCGTCGGTCCATAGTTTACTTTTTCTTACGAGCGCTGTACATTGTCCGTTTCTGGGGGAGTCATTTCACAGGTTATTTGACTAAGGCTGTTGAATCAGTTAGTTCTTAGTATACTGGATATATTCTCGTTTACAGCGATATATTTCTGACGGCATGTTTAGGTAAATAAAAACGTTTTCCAGTGCAACGACCACGAGTGATCGGAAAATATACGACAGTAATGCTAATCGTTTTTCAGTTTCGCTAATACAAAAAAGTTGGTTGTTGTTTCTGTGTGTTATCTTCTTGCATAGGATGTCTATCTCGGACTTGCTTGACCCCTTGAGAATATGAATACGGAAAGCTTAAAAGTTAATTTTGGACAATAGGAAAATGGCTTTAACACAAGTATAAAGTACGCATAACCTTTTTGAGTACATTACGACGGCTGCTTTGCTCAAGGCTATTCAGTAATGATGTCGAGTGTTAGTTGTGGCACACATCATACTGGAGCATGAGAGGCGTCTGGAAAATGGATATGTGAGAATAGACTACAGTAAGAGTCATAGGAACATCGGCAAAGAAGACGGAGAATGTGGCTGTGTGATCAATAGACTTCCTCTCTCAGTACACATTTGTTGGTAATAACTTTGTGGTTGGCATAGCCGCCTAGGAGGAAGAAAGAAGCTAGAGACGGTTAGTGTAGAGTGTTTCCTACTGCAATATCCACTCTCTCTTGTAGATTGTTTTCTAGATCATATGAATCCTGAGCCTTATTCATACGCTTGGCCATTTTCTATGCAATTAATTGAGATTTCATCGCAATAGGTTTCAAATCATACAGTCGTCCACATGTCCGAAAAAGCACTGGATTACAGTTCCAAGCCTTTTGTGCATAATCAGTAGTGCGCATCCATCGGGATTCAAGCCGCTCACCACCAGCGTTTTCCCCCACCAGTTAGCAGTTTCTGCCACTGGTCCACGGGGCACAGTGTCGGACCGTCATGAGTTAAAAGTCTATTTGTTTCTTGACATCCCAATAGGTTGATTACGCTTTACACGGTCAAATATTTGCTGGTCTTTTTGCGAAATTCGTGCTCGGAATTGCAAGCATGGTAATTTGTTCCAACTTGTGGACGAAGTTGGAGGATCTGCTATCCTTCGACCTACATTCTACTGCGGAATTTTCCTTGTTTCGTGTATGCTATATACTGATGCTTGTATTAATGCTATGTTAAGGTTAGAAATATGCATTTTCTTGGGTAGGACGTTAAAGAATACGATTAGGTACTCCATGCGCCTCAACCAGGGGGATAATGTTTGATTCTTTCACATCGTTCGAAATATTCTATTTTTTATGGGATACCTAATTAGGGCTTTGTGGATGTTCGTTATACATTTTCTAACACAATGCGGTCTCGTTTGTTTATGCTACTGTACACTGTTGAGCAATGTTCTAATAGAGGACGAGAAAGCGATGAATAGGCGCAGAATATAGATTCTCTTACTTTTAAATTTCTACTTAACATGCCAATGCTATGTCTGGCCTTTGCAGTGACGTAAGCTACTGGTTCGGAGAAGTTGTGTAAGTGCGAGTATCTCTGTCCCAGGTCCCGAACGGTTGCCATATATTAATTGGTTTATCACAAATGGTCAAACCGCTAGATGTTACGTCGCATTTGTAAGACATTGCTTAACAGTTATATGTTCTGAATAACACCCCCCACTTTGAGCACCAGGTTCGGAGCGCGTGAGGGTGGAGCTGGATCAGGTTTTTAGTTTCGTTCACCATAGCAGCTTGAAAAGTGTAGACAATTGTACTATCGTCGGTAAAACCACAATATGTTCCGAATTTCGCTTCCTCAAAGATATGGCTAGTGTACATCAAGAACATTAGAAAACCAAGGACACGATCCTGTGGTACACCACATATGACTGCTGTTGGTTCAAATTTGTCTCCCTGAATTTGGATCGTCTGTGTTCGATTTGTAAGATACAGTATGAATCACGAAAGCAGAAGTTTCCCGATTCCATGGGATATCATTACAGATATTAGTTTTTCGTGGGGCACCCTACTGTAGGCTTTGTGTCGGCCGGTGGCCGAGTGGTCTGCGCATTTGGTTTGCAACCATAAGGTCACCGGTTCGAATCCGCGTAGGAGTGGACGTCCTCGCGGTATACTCAGCCCGCGCGCGACTGGTGATGGTCGCGCGGCAGCGAAGCGCCGTTACGGCGTACAGCTGACACATTATATAGTATTATTATGTCGAGGTAACTAACGGTTGCAGGCAGGTCATTATCCTGTGAGACAGTTAGATGATAAACAAATTCATCTCGGTGCACTATGCATGAATGAGCACTCAGAAAGGCGTGCTGAGAGTCGTAGAAGGTCTACCGTTATAGCTTTTATATGTCGCTCCATCATTTTTGATATGATAGATATATGATTTATTGGGCGATAATCCTTTGTTTCGAACCGGGAGGCTGATTTATATCGCGGTATGACAATGGCTTTCTCCTACTGTGTTGTTACCATGCCAGAGTTCAAGGATATAGTGAACACATTCAGTGGCAGCAAGGGTATGTCCACATCCCCGAGTTTGATAAGTGCAATAGATACCTTATCTGGTCCACCGAAACGGGACGGTTTTGCACATTTCATGAGTTTGTGTATGTTACTTAGTTCAAATTTGACGAGAGGGTTGAGCAACTGTGGATAGTGGTTTGTCCAATCTTGATGGGTTATTATTCACGTTAGAGGAGGCGCAAAAGCACTGATCAAATATTTCACTGGTGTGAGCAGGGTCAGTTATCTGCTGCAACCAATGAGATTGTGTCTTGATTCTGTTCGCTATCCATGCACTTTAAAAGGTTGATTAGTTCACACTTTTTATATTGAACGCAGAAGGCTCACCTTTCATTAGCGATCTGGTTAGTGTGAGATACCACTGCATGACTGTGGTCAACTTTCGTTTGTTTTACGGTATGCCGTCAGCAATTTTTGAGCTTTAAGCCTGTTTTACCTGATATGTGCGTTTTGTTCCTATGAGGAAAGCATGGATGCACAGTGGAAGCAAGTATGTCATTACATATATTAAAGTTGCTGTAATGGACATTTGCATTTTGTAAGTCACCGGTAAAGAAATATCTGTCCTTTTGAGCAACTCATTTGCTTAGCAAACAGATCCCGGTCGATGGTTTTATATCTCCTGGTATGTATTCGTAATTTGAGCACAGCCGATGTTTGCTATCGGGTGGGATTACTGAATGAAAATGATACTACTCTGTGATCACTACCAGGAAAGTGCTCTCGAACATCGGCGGGTGCTGATAACATGCCAATAGGGAATATTAGGTCTAAGATGTGATCCTTTCTTGTTGGAGATCTGATATGTTGAATCTATCGACATGAGTGTAGAGAAGAGATCAGCTTCGTGTGTTTGCCATGTGCATGACTTGTGGTCCATGCTATTATCCTGTATTTAGCCGTTTGGTCTTCTATATGACAGAACATATCTTGTAGTGCGTTAGGTTCAGCGACACTGGGATTTAGGTGCATGTATCTACATCCGAGAAGTAGCATGTGGCCGTCAACTTGTCCATTTACAAAGACGGAGTTTCCAAAGCAGTTATGCAAGGAAACATTGGCCGTTGATGTATGCACGGCATTGTGCACTTATATGGCGCAACCACCTCCCAGCTTGAACTTATGACAACCAACCGATTATATGGTAGTTGTACTCAGGAATGTCTTCCACTAACCACTTTTTTGTCACAAATATGATTTCTGCGTCAGTGAGTGAGATAAGTGAGCGTGGAAGTGCATTTTGTTTTTTAATTCAGTGTGTATTGAGTAGCGGAATGCGCTTGGACAGCGATTGACGGGGCAAGTTCCTTATTTGTCGCTACAGTACAGGACTATCCACCGATTACGATGTTTTATCTGTTTTGGTCAACGGGTGTCCGGCGATATCTGGTTCGGGATTATCGAAAGTGTTCGGGCATGGAGTGTGAGGTTGAGGATGAAGATGACACTACCGTGTACGTGGCGTAGGGACAATTTACCCATCGTGAACCTTTGAATAACTTGGAGTAAGGAATGCGTTGCGACATTGGGTGTAATTTGTGACTGGTCTGGCATTGGGTCATCTTTTCCATTTGGAGAAATTGAATAATGTGTGGGCTATTTATTTGCTTTCTGTCGGTTGTACCATCGTTGGGAATAGCTGTGAGAACCCTCCGCTTCACCTAAAAATGGCCATCTCAAACTGTTGGTTCATGATTGTTTTTATGTGTATGGAATAGGATACAGGGTAGCGTTGGTCAGTTATGTCTGATGCTAACTTTTTAGTCTTCTCATACTCCTCTGTCTTTGGTGTTTATCTCTAGATTCGGTCACTTCGCAGTCTAAACGTCGTGGTATACTGATTATGCAGTGTCTCAGTTTCTTAGCTGCCTCTCTTGGCATCGTGTAACCTCAGCGTTTGTACCACTTCCAGTTGGGTTAAAAGGAAACAGCGGCAGTACTCCAGCACACCGTACCGACGCTTCGCTGCCACACGACCACCACCAGTCGCGTTATGACTGAGTACAGCGCAAGGTCGCTCGCACCTAAGCGGATTCGAACTGGCGACCTCATGATTACAACACAGGCGCAAAACCCTTTCAGCCTCCGGCCGACAGTCAGGTTGACCAATTTGCTATGTGCCGGCATTTGCTGAGAATTTACTGGCTTATACTCTTTTCAACTTCCATTCGTTGTTCACTGTCTTACTTCTCGCATTGTTTAAGATTATGTCCCGCTTTTCAAGCTCATGTCGCAATGCCTCCCTTCATCAATAGTTGATTCACTGATCAAGCTATGCTTACTCCACTCCCATTGTCCTTCCTTTAGTGGACGCTCCAATTCGCCCGTTCCTCTGTCACTTGGTATCTAAGTATCGTCCGCATTTGGTTCTACACATGCCATAGTTAGCACATTTCGGGTCGAACTCCCGGCCCCCGACCATATTGTCATCTCAGCTAATTCTAAGAGTTCTGGTGGCTTCTCATGCAACACACTAAACCCTTAGCTGTTCCAAATGCTTCTGCTCCCCATTGCATGGTACATCGCTCTGGTTGGGCCTTTGGTTCTTCCTCAGTTCCGTCCAACGGTGGTTTTATTCTCTGTCACTTCAGTTTCACATTTTCAAGACTTTCTCATTTTTTTCCATCCTACATTGGAGTAACTGAGGCACGCAGTTCTTCGTTTCATTTCTACCACTATTTGCATCAATGGAATTTGGTATACGTCGCCGTGCGGCATCGTCTATGAACAACGAACTACTGTTCATTGCTTATGATGTTTTTTTGTATATCATGTAGTGCTCTTCAGTTTCTCCCTGCCCCTCTCCGAACGTGAATGTGCAACCGACTCCCAATGGCCCAACGCTCCGTGGACCCAGAGTAAGTGTACAATGGCATTTTGTCACGTTACATTCTGATATATTATCACTTCTTACCCCCTGCTTCCTTAGCGTACGGCATCAGTCTAGATTTATGTATAACTTTGAATCACAGTCAACTCTCTAATTCGTCGTTTGGCCGCTGCTGAGAACTGGTTTCCGCTTTTTATTTATTTCATGTTCCATCTGATGCCTGTGTTCCGAGGCAAGAATGTCACGGATGTTACGTTTGGTGTTTTGCCTGCAGCAGTAACTTACCACCAAGGTTTAATCCACTAAAATCATCTGTTAACTGTGTTTCCATTTATTTCACTGCCTTAGTTTCTGGGTGCGTGGGTCATCCACGGGTTTGGTGCTGTCTTCATCTCCGTTTTTACCAATTTTTTTCGACTCCCTTGTTTCATTCCACATGTGCTTATTGATGCGTGCGTCCTGTTTCCCATTCTCAAGGTCTTCGCCCACATCTCTGTTTCAGTTCGGTTTCACTTTGTACGCTTCTCATTTCAGCTTGTAGTCTCGGTTCATTTCGAACATCTCTCTGTGGGTCGATCTATTAGGTTGCTAATACAGTTATTGCGCTTTTTAATCTTAAACCCTAAATGCACCTATCTTGGCTCAGAACTAATTTTTTATCCATTATTAAAACCATTTGAATTAACACACTTACACCCACGGCATACAAGGTTTTTTATTCCGGGTGAATAAAATTTCGCAGTTCTGATGACAATGAAATCGTAGAAGGCGGTTTCAGCATATTCTTGGTTTTTAACATTTTCCTCTCATGGGAAGTTATCTTGTTGCTTGAGAAAGTGTTAATCGGTAAGCTAGAGGTCAAGGGAGTATGGTGCGTGAAGCAAAGTTACGTAGCCCAGCTCGTGCGGCTTCCGCAGGATTGTTTGTGCGACATGCGACCGAATGTTATCATGGAGAAGAATTGGCCCCTATAGGTTGCCAGGGCCAGGCTCCTATGTTGAAGTTTTCGGTGCATTTAGACACTTTGGTGATAATACTTCTCCACTGTAATGGTTTCACTTGGATTCAGAAACCTGTGATGCATCAGACCACCGGCAGACGACCAAACATCAAGCATAACATTTTTGGCTACGATTTCGGCTTTTGTAAGTGTTGTGGAGCTCTTGATCATGATCCAACCATTGAGATGTTCATCGTCGATTGCCGTAAAGGATCCACTTTTCATAGAAAGTCACAATCCAGTTGAGAAAGGGGTCGTTTTTGTTGCGCAGAAGATGAGCAGGCGACATCTCAAAACAACGATTTATTTGCTTTTCATTCAGTTCGTGCGACACCCGCTTGTCATCCTTTTTCGAAATTCTAATTTCCCGTAAGTGTTTTACAACTGTCACATGCGATACTGCTGATCCTACAGCAAGATCTCGAATAGTTTTACGCGGATCCGCTTTAACTAAGGCCTTTAATTGTTCCTTGTTCACTTCCGAAGGCCGTTGAAAACACTTCATCTTCAAGCCTCTCGTAACCTCGAAATTTCTGAAACTACCATTGTGAAGTGCGATTATCAATGTTTCCAGCACCGAGTACTCTACTGGTGTGGTGGGCTGTTTCCACTGCATTTCGACCAAGTTTAATTTGGTACAAGAGAATTGTGCGAATTTGTCTTCTGTCCATGTTGCAGTAAATGTTCTGTAAAGATGTAAAAATGTTTCTAAGCTAAGCTGTCAATATAGTTAGATAGAGCGCGAAACAGGCTTCCAAATGATCTACAAGGTCAAGGCAACTTACTAAAAAATATTTACAAGCACAACTGTTAAAATAAAAGTACCAAAAAATGCAATAACCTAATAGCTGCGTTGAATCACTTCATCGCAAACATGACAGTAATTAAGGCAGAGCTTAAAGTTAAAAAGAACAGAAATGCATTACTCGTTAGATTCAATGGCTGACCGATATTTATGATATGCGAAATGTAATAGCACCAACAGGTTCACTATCTCAACATCATAGGCACATCCACCATTTAACTACAGCGCCTCTATTATGGCTTCCTTTTTATCGAGAGGACCGTACTGAACGGTACTATACTCCGGCACATTCTCACTGCCCTACCTATTATTAGATCCACTCTGCTTTAAGGTCTTCCAATCTCTGTTATGCAATGAAAAGAAAGCAATTTCAACCTATGACCGAGGCCAGTTCCCATCTCGATCACGTATTTCAATTTTTGTCATCGAAACTCTCCCCACGTTACTGAACAAGTCTTTTCTTGAAACTATTCATTGTTACTTATCGTTAATCCGGTTTCGCTAACCTCGCATCTCCGGCATGAGATACACGCGGGGTCTGAAGCTGCTGACCTACAAATGTGCCCTATTTTGTTTTCTGGTACCGTTTTGATCTCAGCTTCAGCTTGTTTCCAAGTCAGTTAATCCACTCGACAAATTAAATGGTGCTCTTTCATGAGATCCTGGGTAAATGGTTGAGAACTACCTGCCAATCTACCACACTCCAACAACCGCCCAGGTATTAAAAAAACTGGTCAATAAGGGCGTGATGAACTTTACTGATTCTTTGGGACTGGCAGTATTGTTTTCTTGGCAAGCGATCCTGCACCATCTGTCAGTTGCATTATCTGAACTACATCTTCGAATCTATCGATTCCGGCTGTGCAGCCGTAATTCTATTTCTGGACATAACTAAGCATTTCACTGGGTACCTCACAAGCGGTTGTTAACTATGCTAGAGGCTTCTAGCTAGCTGTCGTCATACGTTAGTGGTCGCCACTAGATAGCCACTTTAAGTGACTCTCGCTCTTTTCCACTACCCATCACTATTGGGGTCGTTCACTGGAGCGTGCTTGATCCTTCGATATTCGAGCTCTACATCGATGGCATCACCACGTCCGTAAGACATGCTCGTCCACTTTTATTCGCTGATGATATCAAGATGGTCTTTAAGCATCGACTTGATTCATTTCACGGAACGCTTTTGCTCATTCGAGGTCACTTGTATTTTCTTGAGGCATGGTACCATTCATGGAGGATGAATCTTCCAGCTAAAATATCAGGCATCATGTTTTACGGTTGTTCCATCCCTGAACGATTTATTACGCAGAACAACGAGCATGGTCTTATACAACTGTCCACGTGCTATCTCCGATTTGAGTACTCATGTATCTTCAATTTCTCCTAACAGGTCTAATACCAAGTAGCACGTGCCAGACGATCTGTGTTCAATATATTTGACAAAATCTGCACAATCCATGCTGGAGTTGAGATTTTTAAGCTATGCACCCGCTCCATCCTGGAGTACTGTAGCAAGATAGACAGCAACATGAGACAGAGCGACAGAGTTGCTCTAGAACACCTGCAGAGCTCGTTTACTAGACATATACTTGGTATGCAATCTGTCTTGAAGTATCGAGAGGGTTGAAACTTTAACTTGAACCACTTTTAATGCGACGATCGAATCTGCTACACAAGAAACTTGTGTTGTCCCGAAATCAGTTGCCATTTCTAGCAAAAGGACGAATGCCATCGGTGGTACGCCACTACGAGTTACTGACGCTTCACTGCTGCGCGACCACAACTAGTCTCCCGTGGGCTAAGGATAATGCGAGGATCGCCCGGTTGTTACGCAGTCTCGAACCCGCGCCCTCGGATCACAAAGCAGGCTTGTGATCCCTAAGACTACCGACCGGTACACTGTTTCAGTCAATATTTTAAATCGACAACCGTATTTAATCGGCATAACGTCCATTGCCATCGATTACATACGGCCAACGTTCAGGCAAGCTGTCGGTGCCTCTCTCACATCATGAGCTGAGCTTGCTGCCTGAGTATTCGCCACGGTACGTTTTGATATGATTGTGGTCATCGAATCTCTTTGATGTAATTTTGCAGTGAGGAGCAAGGTCAGGACTATATGCTAGATGCATAAGAGCTTCGACACCGTGCTTCTGAATCTTGAGACGCCTCATCTTTACCACATGTTGACCTGTGTTGTCACGCAGAAGAATTATTCAAGCCACTCTTGAATGCTTTATTCGTTGTTCCTCGACTATCTTTTGCAGTGGCTGGCAGTATACAGCGACAATCGTTATATCACATCTAGAAACTTATTTACGATGGTCGTTGCCGTCCCCCGTAGCTCAGTGGTCTCAACCACGGACTGACAACAGTCGAGTTGCGGGTTCGAGCCTTACCAGGGTCCGATGGAATGCGCACTGCTAACGATTCCCGAACGGATGAAACGCGCGTGCAGTGCTTTTCCGGGCGTGTGACGGCTGTCTGAGTGAGTGTAGATGTGACGAATTTCTACGTATACCATTCAAATCCCCCTACTACTCCTCTGCAATGTAAGATAATTGGACGATGTAACACTTACCCATATTCATTAATCCAGAACGTTCCTGATAATTCTGGAATGACATCGAAAATAACTTCCTTTGATTTTGTGACAACCTAAAATCCCGATCTGGCCGCTCGAGCTGCAACATGGCACAATTTGGGGCTTCGCAACAAAACTTATACACCAGTTATACCTAAGGATAGAACAAGCATGCGTTTAAATTTCCCCGTGATCAGATAAGCTTATGTTCTGGATAACTTGCCATTCACACTCAGTTCAGTGTGGCAACATCTGGTGATAAGTTCGCAACTTACCTCGACCTGAAGACATTTGCACGAGAAAATCCCTGGATGAGCTATTCCACGAGTGGTCCAAGAACGTCTAAACACCTACGTTACCAAACCTTAGTTTTCGCCTCAACTAAAAGCAATTTTTCACAGGTGCTTATCCCCTATGCAAGAGCATGGTTACTTTTGTACACATTAATCTGTTAAGCTACAGATACAGCTTATCGGACCATGAGAAATATACGTATTACTACTATCGTTATCATTCCTCGGACTGGGCCTTTATAATCAGCTTTCTTAACCCTCTGAAAATGATTTTGTGATGTAGTCCAAATTATGGTACTTCTGTTTTCTACGTATCAAGCCGAATGCCAGCTAAATTCACCGAGTACTTACCCCGATCAGAACCAGTCAGTCTCTGCTTCTAACTTTTCAGTCACCGCTTGCAAGGAGCAATCCCCCACTTCTTGCTAGTATTGGTGTTTTGCAAGTCAGCACACATAATTCGAGAATTCAAGATGAGTTCTTTGACCACAATACTAGACCGTGATATGTTTCTAGAATATTCCACAAGGTTTATTTTGATCCCATCCGGGTGAATATACGCTGTCCGTTTAAGGGTTTTGGTCTTGAACCTGTGGCGCTATCAATCAGTGTGATTGTCACATCTGGTTTCGAAACGTTATTCACTCTCTTTGTACTCTGTCATGCCAAACGGGAGCTTCTTATTCCCGCAGCTTGTCAGTTGCCGCATTGGTGAGACAACGAGAAATCAATGTATCCGCCAGCCTTTGTTCTATCTCCTTTTGCTTCACCACTCCTTGTATGTCATACCGATAATGCATCTAAATTTTTTTCTAATAAACGCCCAGTGCTTCTAACATGCAGTATATCATATTCTGTCTTGACGCAACCGCATATCCCCCTCGCCGCTTTGGTCACGAAGTTCATTTCCTTTCGCCAAAATTTCTAACTTTGCTTTTTACAAACTACTGGCAATTTATATTGGTTCGTTTTTAATCACTTGTGTGAGCATCGCATGGTCTTCCTGCTACTCGCCTCATCCTCCGTTGGATTTTGCATTCCTCTGGACAAGTCTAACATCAGACCGATAAAAACCGTATTAAAACCACTGTTATGTTGTGTCTAACCGCATATCCTTCTTCCAAACTATCCTCTTGCTACTTCTGCGTTACCTCGACTTTAGCAGACTGCGAAAAAATTGCGAGACCTACAGGGTTCGGTGGTCTGCCACCTCCGCTCAAAGCACACCGCACGCAGTGCTCACTCGCGAATAATCGTCATCATGTCTGGAGTGCTGTGCTATTAATGACGTCACCATCAATCCTATAGATTTATCAGCATATAGCGCGCTTATTTCTGGTCTGTAAATGTGTGTACTCTTGATACTCTCAATTCTGTTTTCTGTTCAGGTTCGTAGCCAGGCTGGCACTCCTGATGATCATGAGCATTGGCAGCGATCTTCCTTGATCATGCTAGCTGTGACGCATGCCAGTCCCCGGGGACGAACTTCAGGTGTGCATGAGAGTCAGCAACATTCACACATCTTCGATGGTATTGGAGATCTGTCGCATTTCAACGATTACTCTTCCCCCTCAGGTATTTCTGCCCGATGAACCTTACCATCATTGTTTGGATAACACCTACAGCTTTCTTTCTTTTGCGCTTACTTTGATTCGCACTATTATTACACCACGGGCGCCCGTGGGATATTGATGGTACGCTAAAGTTTATTCACTTTCTTGCCTGTCGATCTCACAAGGACACGCTTTTACCCATCATAAATATCGTAGTTCTGGCCATTTTACCGAATTATTTTTTACGTCTTTGTCCTCAACACCTGACCAGTGAGCCGCGCTTGCCAGCATATGCAAACTATATCCGTGTCGTGTTGTTGCTTCGACTACTACTTATTTCACATGTAAAATGCTTGGAACCGATTAAGAACTCAGATGAGTTTGAAAATAACCGGCTATATATATATATATATATATATATATATATATATATAGTCATCACGGCCAATCGTACAATTGGCATAGTGCTACAACGTATGGGAAGTACAATAAACACACGAAGGGAGAGGAAAAACAACCAGTGTTCATGGGAATGGAGAGTCACAACAAGTCTGTCATTGCGTACGGTTGGTCGTTTCTGAGAGTGTTTCCAGCTTTGCGTGTTCCTGATCGTTCACCCTCCTGCCAGGAAGACGAGAGCGCCCGACTGCGGCTAACTTTTACGTTAACTCCTTCATGCTCCTGGTCAAACTCATATGTTGGCCACCTTGCTTTCGCTTCCGGCCGACTTCTGCGCACGCGAAGTGAGCACGGCTAGGTAAATGATGAGTAGACGTACAATGAATATGCCCAAGCCACTAAAGTCTGCGCAGAGAAAGTATCCTGCTCAATGGCCGGTAAAGTCTCTGATCTGAAAATTCTCCGTTAAACACCTTCATTGCTAGTGTGATGTTGCCATCGTACACCAGCAATGTGATGATCAAAAACAGACAGCCTCTCAACATCCTTTGCGCGAACAAGCCAAGTCTCGCAGCCATAGAGTATAGTAAACTCAACCCTTCATAGATAGACTCAGCTCGCCTCGATGCCAGAGATGGCGGGGATTTGCACAGGCACCCTGAGTCTTGTAGACGCACAGAGACCTCTTTCGTTAAACCATTAGCGATGAGGCAGCTTCCGAGGTAAACGAACTTGTCCACCACTTCCAATGAATGACCTAGAAGGGTAAGCTTAGGACCAACTCCTAGCCAGTCTTGCAGGAAAGCCTTGCATTTTGGTGGTGCGAAGGTCATTCCAAACTGGGAGACGGACACCTACCTACACAGAACATTTTGGGCGGTCTGTGAGGAATCGCAGATTACGGCGGTGTCGTCTGCATACTCCAAATCCCGAAGTCGGTCCCCCGGAGCATCTCAACGCTGCAAACTTCGCAGTTCTCCAGAGCACTCCAAGATTTCGTCTATAGCGAAATTGAACAACAAGGGGGATGCTGGGCAACCCTGTCTCACGCCACTGGGGATACTAAAGGGAGGCGAAAGTCCGCCGTACACCCGCACTCGGCCCGACATTAGACAGCAAATGGCTTGTAGTAATGTGACATACTCCTCCCCTTCTCAGTAGACAACTCCAAAGAGCAGCTCTGTCGATTGAGTCAAACGCGGTTCGTATAGCTAAGAAGACAAGGATCGTTGGCTGGCCAAATTTTTGACGACGCTAGAATATTTGGCGGATTGTAAAGATGTGATCGATGCAACTCCGACCTGAGTGGAACTCAGCTTGCTCTTCACGTACGCTTTGTTCGCGTACCAGGCTGAGCCTGGTTATAAGCAGGACTGCGAGCACCTTGGAAACAACACAGATGAGACTAATCACTTTGTGCTTGGCGCAGTCAGTTCGGGTACCCTTTTTGAAGTGGTGCGCGATATCCACTACACTCCAATCAGATGGGATAACTTCAGTGACTCAGATCTCTTGCAGGAGAGAGGTTAACTCATGAACAAGTGATGGGTCTCCATCTTTGAAGAGAGCCGGAGGGAGTTTATCTGGGCCAGGGGCTTTGTAGCGCTTTAAGAGGCGAAACTCATGGGCAACCTCAGCCTCGGATGGTGGTGAAGCGTCTACACACCAGGGAGCGCTCTGGACTCCAGAATGGGAACTCATCGGTGCTGATGGCCAATTAAACTGCTGCTCAAAATGCTCGGCCCAACGCTCGAGTCGGCGTTTTTGACACTGGATTGGCTCGCCATTGATTTCGCATAAAACTTCGTTTACAGTCGGCTTTTGCCGCCAGTAGATCGGATCAGAAGGGAAAGCTTGCGCAAATTCCCCGAGATGGCCGCTTGCTCCATCTCAATGACCCGCTGTGTCCATCCGGCCTCGCGATCTTCCCGGAGAAGCTGTTTGAGCTCAGCGTTAGTAGTCTTGCGTAGTGAATGGTATTTAACGGTAGCAGGAATAGCTCGACGGGCTTCGAGAAGTTGGAAGGGTCGTGCAGAGATCCGGTAATTGACAGGACTACTGGTAAAGCCACAGACCAGAGCTGCAGAGTTGTACATGGCACCGCTGATGTGTGCCTAGTGTGTTCCAATGTCTGTGCATGCTGTTCTAATCGCGGTTACTGGGGCGTTGGACCGTCAGAACAAAGACTTTCACCGCACCGGACAGGGCATTGACCAGATCTCAAGTCACATGAAACAAGCAAGACAGCCGACAATATAGGTTAAGTTGAAAGTGTGTGTCAGACAGGCGGCGCCCTGATGCATATGAACCACAGTGGATTAGCGGGTGAGAGTGAAGTTCACGGTCAGGTGTGTGGGACGACCCTGTGCTTTTAAGGCACCGGTTCGCCTGGTGTAGCAGAAGCAGTCTTCAGCCTTGAGGCCAAGGCATCCTGAAATGCGCCGAGAACGTTCGGGCGGAAAGCTTAGGTACGTCAAACCGTTTCTGGCGACGCTACTGGGAGCCACCAAAACGTAGCGCAACCTTGGCACACACCAGCGCGTGATCCGAAGTAAGATAACCACTCCAGATTGATTTGCAATCTTGTATGCTACCCCGCCAGCAATAGCTAATGGCGATGTGGTCAATTTGTGTCCACGACTGGCCAATTGATGGGGCTCTCCAGGTGGCGCGTTGGCGCTAGGATCTCCGAAAGCTAGTGCTCGACAGAAAGATGCCGTGATCGGCGCAAAACTGAAGTAGTCGGTCACCGTTGTCAGTTTTGCGAGTGCCATGGCCGTGTTGACCACCGAGTTCACGTTCGTCAACTTCAGGTCTACCGACCTGCGCGTTCAAGTCCCCGGCGAGCACCACGATGTCAGTATGACGCTTTTTTCGGTAGGTCAGCCAGTTGACCATAGAACTCATCTTTACCTGGCTCCGGGTTGCAATCTGTGGGAAGTTACGCTGCGACAATGAATAGACAGCGTTTGCTGTCTTCGCGTCTGGACAGTCGCACTGAAGTTTCAAGTCGGATCGCGCAGTCGGCTGTTAACTGGGATCCAGTCTAGTAGCGCGGCCTCTGCACGTGTGCTCAACGCAGTCCCCACGCCAGCATAACCAGCGGCTTCGGCGGTTGAGTCTCCAGATTGGCGCAAATTGAAAATGCCAGTGGAATTCGCAGACGGTGAAGCTAGTCACAGCTTATTTCTAGCGTCCTCTAAACGGGTTTTGCTGAGACAGCAGACACAAATGGCGTAGTTTCTAGAGTACGAGCAAGGGCTTCCTGTGATGCAATCAACGTTCGAACATTGATGCTTGCCGGCTTGAATTGGGAATGCGGCACTAGAAATGGCTTGTCAACACGACTTGGCGCATCCTCTGACCTAGGCTCCTGATCCGTATGGCAAGAACGTTCACCCAAGGCGGCACGGTGTTGTGAACTCTAAAACGGAAGGGGAAGACTAAGAATGGGGGTTGATCGAACGTGGAATAATATACTTAAAAGACGGTGCGATAAAACCTGGTTTGACAGGTTCAGTCGCCAGCACTTCGGCCTAGCAAGGCAGTTCGAGTGTATGGGAGCAGGTACAGCAAGCGAAGATTTGTTGAGACGTGGATCCATAGGTTCTGTGGGCATGGTGCTTCCCGGTTGCCCAGGCCGAGGAAGAGGGTTGACTTAGGGGATTCCATCCGGAGCCTTGGGTCATGAGAGACCCAACCCGCAAAGCAGCGGGGCGATTGACGTATACCGCAAACCGTTGGGAGCCGGCTATCTAGGTGAGGATAAAACTGCTTTCGAGTAGAGACAAACTACTCAGAGCGTCCAAAAAGCCCGAGTGATGCAGCAAGCAAGCCAGTACTCCCTGGACTACCGAAGCACGAAGGCCGTTGAGAGCCGAGTGGCTCATACGCCTTCATAGAAGCCGGTGACCATCGAGGTTGTTCATCTGTCCTCATATAAGTACTCACTTTCTGATCAGAAGCAAGTGGTCAGTGACCCTATAACCGGTTACATTAGCTTTGACACACATCGTCTTCTGAGCTTTTGTGTTGTTTAATGAGGAATCCGGTGACCAGCCCAGTCCCCCCCCCCACGCTTTAGGACGCTGACGCTGATTGTCCGCGACTGCTTATTCAGCTCGCCTGCGAACAGCAGAGACTGATTCACAGTTACCTTCGCAAGGAAGGCACTCCCGATCCGCAAACTGGGGATGCGCCCGGTGGTGTACAGCTCCGCCGAACCAACCAGTGGTCGGGTCACTTCCGAGACCGGTTAATAAAATTCGTGGATAGCGTTTAGGTTTTGGTACAAAAGATTCGTCAGGTAGGTATAGCACTTATAGCAGACTGCAAATATGCTAGGGATGATTGGGATGTAGATAGACGGTTATTCGCGTTAGAGATCATAGTCTCATCTCAGGCGGTGCATGGAGCTGTCCGAGTTGCAAAGTCACACTTAAGCCCCTGTCAGTGATGGGTGTGTACAATCACTATTCCAGGTCCGTCCGCGGACGCTCCTCAGACTGGTCGGATTAGGACAGTCCTGCACACGTTCCAAATGAAATAACGTTATCTCGCTCTTTAGCAACGTGCAAAAATGCGACGCGTTGTATATAGAGAAACACTGTTCGAATGGGGACAATAACTTGAGAAAATGG